CCGCAGCTCAGCTCAGCTCAACCAGCAGCAGCAGCAGCGCATTGCCAGAGAGCAGGGTGGGAAGAGAGGGGGCGGTGGTGGCAAGTCATGAAAGCAGCATCCACACGTTCAGGGTGCAAACGCCTTGGATGGTTTGGCTCCCCCACCCCTTTATTTACTGATCTGCCACAAGCTCGTGCAAACAAGCCCCGAGGAGTTCTGAACGAGTGGTCATTTTTAAAAAAAAAGTTTTAAGCAACGAGGCAGAAAGGGGAACTCGCTCACGGCTCTTTTTTCCCCCTTTCCCGGCGACTGGGAAGGCAGCAGCCAGAGACACCGCTGCACAAAGGGAGGTGGAGAGAGGGGCGAGGGGGAAAACCTCACTCAACTTTCGCCCTTATCAGACCCGGTTCCCTTCTGGTCGACCCCTACCCACCCACCCGCCCCCTTCACCTCCCGCTACAGATCGACGCTACCCTTCGGGAATATTTCACCAGGCTTTTTTTTTAACCTTGGCCCTGCGCTTCTCCCAGACGGAAGCCAGGCAAGAGGACCTGAAAGACGCCGAGCAGGAGGTTCATAGCTGTGGCGACGCGGCAGTAGCTGTTCTGCGATGGGTAGTGCAGCCCCGCCATGCTGCTGAGGCGGCTGCTTTCCTGTCTGCCCGAGCTGGCTGGCGGAGCTAGTCTTGAGCAGAAATTCTCACTAGTGTCTCGGTTCCTAAGACCATTGGAAATATGTATTTTCCGATGGTCTTAGGCGACCCCTGTGAAAGCGTCGTTCGACCCCCAAAAGGGTTGCGACCCACAGGTTGAGAACCGCTGTACTAGTACAACAAATTGGAGAGTGTTGTACTAGAATTTTCTGCTTATTCTTTAATCATTAAATGTTTTCACAAATTCATTAAAAACAATAACTAGTTTTAACTAAGATAATCAAATATACATTTGTCCAGTACTCTAGTTTAAAATAAACAAAAGAAAGATTTTTATCTTTATCATCTTATACTATATTCAGCAAATAGCTTGAACCATACATAACACATAAACAAAACATGACGCTGCTTTTAACACTTACCATACAATACAGATGATTCTCAAGTTATGACCATAATGGAACCTGCCCATTATAGTAATAACGTTAATTGAATCATGTTAAATGAAACAGCCCCATCCCTCCTCTCCCCAATGCATTCGTTAATTGAATGCATGGATCGTTAAGTGGGCATGAGAAACCTCGGGGGGGACTCCATGGGGGGCCTAGTGCAGGAACAAGATTACCTCTCTCTGGCCACCCAAGGCCTCCCCGCACCCACTGAGATATCTTAAGGTCCTCACAGCTACTTGGGCCTGCTTCACACTAAACCCCTATCACCGATCACTCACTTAACTTTTGAAGATCAGCTGAGCTGTCTTCTCAGATGGATGGGCTAACAAAGCAGGCCCAGTGACTGTGCAGACCCGGTGTGTGTGTGTGGGGGAAATAGGCAGGGGGCATGTTGCAGTATCTCTGCAGTCTTTAAGGGCAAACAGCTACCATGATGCTGCAACATTCATAACTTCAGGACCGTCATAAGTTCTTTTGGGGGGTTCATGACTTTGAACTGTCACTAAGTGAACTGCCATAAGTTGAGAATATCTGTAAAAGTAGTGGAGTGTTAGAAATGTGAAAATAAAGAGATACAGCAATTTTACTACAACTTATTTGTTTTTGTATAATCAAAATTATAATCAGTGCATAAATTTACTATGCCTAATTAGCACTTAGCAATAGCAATAGTACTTAGACTTATATATCACTTTGCAGTGCTTTACAACTTTCTCTAAGCAGTTTACAGAGTCATTATATTGCCCCCAACAATCTGGGTCCTCATTTTCCCGACTTCGGAAGGATGAAAAACTGAGTCAACTTTGAGCCAGTGAGGATCAAATCCCTGGCAAGTCAGCAGAATTAGCCTGCAATACTGCATTCTAACCACTGTGCCACCACGACTAATTAATGGGTGCTCCTATAATTGCACCTGTCTGCAATAGGAACAGAAGTTTATGCTAAATGGATGATCACAGACTATTTCCTAGCATTACTTTAAAACAGTGTTTCCCAACCTCAGCAACTTTAAGATATGTGGACTTCAATTCCCAGAAGTGGAAAATAATTTTTCACTGATCTAAAAAAATACAGTAGCAGATATTTTAGATACAAAAGCTACAGCTGTCTTGGCTCGGAAGAATATCAACAATAAAATGCCAATTTTATCAAGATTCAGTTTTTATTCCAAATTATTACAATAAGAATTGAAAAGTCATTGACTGGCAAAGAAAAATAACTAATTTAATTTGGTCAAATAAAAGGCAGAAGATCAAACTATATTCTACAAAATGCAAAAGAATGAGGTGAATTAGTCGCACAAATTTTAAATTATACTGTCATATTGTATTACAGATTTGATTACACCACTGTATAGTTGTATTGTATTGTATGGTATGGTATGGTATGGTATGGTATGGTATGGTATGGTATGGTATGGTATGGTATGGTATATTATATTATATTATATTATATTATATTATATTATATTATATTATATTATATTATATTATATTATATTATATTATATTATATTATATTATATTATATTATATTATATTATATTATTATATTATTATATTATTATATTATATTATATTATATTATATTATATTATATTATATTATATTATATTATATTATATTATATTATATTATATTATATTATATTATATTATATTATATTATATTATATTATTATATTATTATATTATATTATATTATTATATTATTAATTATCAAATTTGAAAAAATTATCAAATTTGAAAACTATCTGTTAGGGCAGGGGTCCCCAACCCCCAGTCCTTGGACCAGTACCAGGCCACGGCATGCCAGCAACTGGTCCGCACAAACAAGCAAAGCCCCATCCGCGGGATGCAGGCAGCACACAAAACCATGCATCCTCCAGTCCGCAGAAAAACCTCTCTCCACAGAACCGGTCCCTGGTACCCAAAAGGTTGGGGACCTCTGTGTTAAAACAATGAGTTGCTACTGAAATGTGAGTCAGAAACTGAAGAAGTCAGATTACATGATTATAAATTGTTGGAAAATTTAAATAGGACAACTGATAGTCAATAAGGGGAACATCACTAGAAATCCAATACTAAATTTGCTCAGGAAAAAACATGTACAAGATGTTTTTTCCAATGATATACTGCTCCAGTATTGATTTTCAAAATAGATGATGCATTTTCAAAAAGCAGATGGAAATGTAAAAATGTAATATCATTACACCTTTCCATATATGATGGCAATGTCACAAAGCCCAGCAATTCTGGAAGGTGATTTATCATATTGTATAATGAAGTACATGTTAAATACTCATTTTCCTTTGCGGACAGCTGTTTTGCTATCAAGCATCACTGAACCTTATAGTTACACAAAATATACAAAATTAGCTTTGTACATGGTAACAGCTGCTATGATACTGTATGGTTCCCATTAGAAATAACACATTAGAAATAATTCTTACATTAGAGGACCAAAAAAACTAAGCACTGGGAACACAGATCATTATTTAAAAAACCTTCATACAGTAATTAAAAAATAAGTTTGGTACAGTGTTAGCTTGGAAACATCTATTGGGACCCAGGAAGCTGACCTTGTCTGACACAGCTCTGAAATGAGATGCTTCTTGATAATTTGGATCACTCACATCCTGATAGGGTTCTGGAAAGAGTTGAAGACCTAACCTAACCAGGATTGAGTCCATTTTGGATCTGTTTGGGGGCAGGATGTTAGCCAGTCTTGTGGTCTGTTTTTGTTTATTGCCTCTTATTGATTTGTTGTTGCACTGTATTTTTATTTTTATTGTTTGTATTTTGTTTAGTTTCATTATATAGTGCTAGTTGAGATTTGGGTGGTGCCTAAATAGAACAAATTAGTTTTCAAAATCCCATACTAGGAGATTCCCTTCTCCTAGTCCTTATTTAATGCTCTATTTGATTCCAATGCATCACATTGCAGAAGATATTCTGCAATGCATCACATTGCAGAAGATATTCTGCAATGCATCACATTGCAGAAGATATTCTACACTGCATGCAGTTATAATACATTATAACTTTCTAAGTAGTTTTTCCATTTAAAATACATTTATTTATTTAAAGTTTCTTTAGCCAGTGTGTTTTGTTGCTTTGTAGTGGAATTGGCTATGATAATGGCCCGTCTCTATGGTGGAGTGTGTTATGCAGGAATTGATACTGATCCTGAACTAAAATACCCCAAAGGTGCTGGACGAGTGGCTTTTTCCAATCAACAGAGCTACATTGCAGCCATCAGTGCCCGGTTTGTTCAGCTTCAACATAGTGATATTGATAAACGAGTAAGTTTGGAGAGAAGAAATAAGCTTGTTTGCTTTTCACAAGTTACACAACACGATCATTGATAAAATTGACTATTCATTGTGTCTGTTCCTTTTTTTATAAGAGCAAGCAGGATATTATGAGGGACATATAATATTATTAAGAAGCATAACTCTGTAGCATTACCTAACCAATGTGGGATTTGTTCATGGGATGTTCCACTGTGTTATCCAGGAGGAGGGGAAAACAATATTCCAGAATCCAAATATTCAATATTAATATTTCTTTTTCATGTGTCTGTTTTTTAAATAGGTGGAGGTAAAACCATATGTGTTGGATGACCAGATGTGTGATGAATGCCAGGGTGCACGATGTAGTGGAAAGTTTGCTCCCTTTTTTTGTGCCAATGTTACTTGCCTGCAGTATTACTGTGAGTTTTGCTGGGCAAACATCCACTCTCGGGCAGGGCGTGAATTCCATAAGCCGTTGGTTAAGGAGGGGGCAGACCGGTCACGGCAGATCCACTTCCGCTGGAATTGAAAAGGAAGGAAGGAAGGAAGGAATGAAGGAAGGAAGGATGGCTTCCTCAGCTTGAAGATACTGATATGTAGAAGAAATAATTTCATTTTTCTGTTTTTCACCCCAGCTCTCTTAGATCTACATCTGTTTTCAGCAGCTAAAATACTACAAAGCCTCTTGTTTTTCCCCAAAATCCTACATCTCAGGCTTATTATTTTTTTCCTGATATTTTCATGTAATTTCTCCAATTTATTTTTATATGTAGAATTAAAACTAAATGAGAGAATGTTTTTTGCGTGGGGCACACTGTCTGTTGCTATAGTTAGTGGATGAAGCATGCACTTATTTCCAAACATGGGTTTTTAACTTCAACATCTACCCCACTAATTTACCAAAGGTAGCAAAAATAGAGAAGAGGGAATATGTCTGCTACAAAAAGCTTTTGCTGTTGCTATTTTCAATGTATACATCATTTTTAAAAAATAGGGTTAGTTTTTTTGCTCTCCATTTTGACTTGCAAGAAATAATACCTCAAGATATTCTGATTTATTAGTTATTTTTAAACATTTTAAACATTAAACAAGCTGTATTAGCTTTGCTACTATACAGGTGTTATAGGTAATGCCACCTATAAATATGGGATAAAAACATTTTAAGATATTCTGCATTACCCATTAAAATGCAGGCAGCACAATATGGCGCAAACTGCCATAGTTTTAGAATGTGAAAATTGCATGTTTACTTACTTGCATACAGCATATGCATGCACTAGATTTAACAGGAGATAGGTTATGACCAATTTTTTAAAGTAAGGCTCTGAAATCTAGATAGCATGAGCACACTGCAAAATTTGTAACGAAGGACCTGCATGTATTATTGTGACTCAAGCTTTTTTTTTTTCTAAAAATGTCCTACATGTATACAATATGCAAATTAGTTTTAGATTAGAAAGTGCAGCCATTTTGTGACCAGGTGGATGCAGGAATTCAATTTTTACAGACTGAATGTAATGTTGTAGTTGATGTGGTGTGAGGTTCTAATTCCTATGGAATAATATAGCATAGACACAAATTTGAGTAAAACATTAGAATACTTTATTATTTACTTCAGTCCCATTGATTGTTCATGGTTAAAACTTCCTCTCCAAAACAAAGATGGGACCCCACTGCTAGCCAGTCACCAAATGGGAAACTACTGAGAAATGAGCACTAAAACATACTGATACCAAGAAAATACTTTACTAATAAAAATCTAAATAAAGTAAAAATGGAGATGGTATAATATTTTACAGCTAGTTGCAGAAGGTAAATCTTATCTTGAAGACAACAGTGAAACCAGGCTTAAATTGTCTATGTTTGACCTTAGTATATTGACAATATGTTTATCCAAATGATATCACTGTTGCGTGAAGTCCAGTTCATTTACTGACAGTCAAGTTTAGATTTTAATGGAGGTGAAGCCGTTTCAAGTAATGGTATTGGATCCAAGATTTTGGGTGGTGTAACCAAGCAAAACATTTTCTTGATCCTAAGTGCAAGAATGTCACTAGCAGTGTTCGTGTCCTTCTTGGAACATGTCAGTGAAACTAGCTTTTTTGTTCAAGTGGAAGATCTACTCTCCTGTTTAAATACCTGATAGAACCAAATTCAGAATTGCAGTCCTTTTCACAGGGAAAAATTAACCAGGTTTATGCTCTTGCCATAGCCTCGGGGACAATCCTTTATTGAAGCATATTGCTCTTAAATTGGTTGTCTTAGTGAGCTCCTTGTACTGCTCAGTATATATTTCATGTCTACCGCTACTGTTTTGTTGTGATTGTAGTTCAGATTTTTAAATTTTTAAAGTTGATGCTGTGTTTTGTTTTGTTTTTTTGCTTTTTTAAAAAGCTTTTTAACTGATTCATTTATCAATATATCCTATTTGTTTCTTAACCATGATCCTCCGGGCTTCTTGGAGTATTCTTTTCTAACCTTAAGCCCTGCTAAACTTTGATCCATTTCTGATATTCATTATGCACTATTTTTATATCTCTGTAAGAGATTTTTTCCAATTAGTCAGCTATTTTGAGGTACAGTTTTTTTGACAAATGGACATCTCCTTTGCTATACCTCAATTTTTGGAATTAAAAAAAAACTGTTTTGCAATGTTAATTATTTAAGTATAATTTAATTCTGCAGATGTTTTTAACTATTTTCATATTTTTTTTGCTTGGTTTAAAATTGAAGCGCCTTTATATGTTATAAATAATGAAATTAATACCGAAAAATAGTACACAATTAAAATAATTGGAGATGTTTTTCTTTTCTCTACAATAAAGCTGTCAAATAGGATGGTCTTACCTTATATTTGAGATGGGTAAACTAATCAAATTTCAAGCTATGCTTGTCACTTCATTTCTGGAGCTATTAATGCTAATAGATATTGTAACGTACATCTCCTTTTTTTTGTCCTTAATCCATGCATTTTGGGTGTAATCCGGTACAAGGGTCTCTTGTATTGACCCGTGTTACAAAGCAGTTGATCTATTAACCTCTCTTCATTTGTTAGAGGAGAGGTGGTATATACAGATTTTGTGCATAACTCCTGCTTATTAACAGAGGGGAGACATAAGAGATGTGCTGCTGGATTGCACCACTGTTTTCTCCAGTGTTCAACACTGTATTGCTTTTGCTTTATAAATCATATTTATTTTACTATTTTTGTAGAAGACTGTTAATTTTATTGTACTTTTGAATTTTTAAAGCTTTTTTACTTTTGATATCCCAGATGTGCACATCAAATGTATGATGTGGAAGGAAAAATACTTTAAAAAGTCCATACTTTTTGTTGAGAAGGAAACATTTAGCATTTATACGTATATTGGTGTATGGAAAACACTTGATCCTTAATTCCCTGTTTGCATCTGGTTGCTGAAGGCTTCTCCTCAAAGATGCTAGAAAACTTGAATATAACACATTTTGGAAGGCTGACTAACCTTGATTCTGTATTGTGATGTGCAATATTATTTCTAATGTTTGTATAAAAAGAATAATTGTATAAACCTTTTTAATGCAAATTTTATTTTTTAATTGCATCTTTTGCCAATTTTATCCACAGTGTCATTTTTTTACTGTTAGAAAAAAAATCCCTTTTGTCATTGCAACTATGTTTTAAAATTCAGAAATCTTTGTACTGATATAAATGATTGTAGTTATTTTGGATAGTGTTTTGCTAACAAAATGATTTTTTTCATGCATTTTGTTGTCATTTTGAGTTTTGTTTCTTTGCTTTGTTTAAAATAGCAAAAGTATTTGGAATGATTTTTCATATTCTTGTCATTAATATTATTTTGTATTTTTATGTGGAAATGTATAATTTTATGATGCTAATTGCTAAAAGTTAATTTTATGTTGAATTATTTTTGAAGCTGAAATCTTTGTAATATTAAAAGCAACTAGTTTCTAAATTCAAGTTTCTGTAAATAATTGCACATGTGGTTTATGGAGTGTTTGAAATGTAATTATAAATTGTTCTTTAATATACAAATTAATATCTTCTGTTAAATTTATTTTGTATTTGTAATGGGATATTAAAATATTTTTCTTTTCTGTAGAAAAAAATACATGCTTTTTATGGACATAGGGAAACAATGCACCAACCATCTCCACAGTGCCGTGCCCTTCAGATTGAATTAGGATGTTCAATTTCCAGAATTTCCAGCCCCTGTAATTTTTGGTGATGTAAGGTTGGAATTATGGGAATTGATCCAGCACATCTGAAGGGCACCAGTGGAAGATAGTTGCCCCCAGTGCTGCTGGGACACCTGGATTGAAGTCAGGATAGCATCAAAGCTCCCTTGCAGAGAAGCAAATTTCCCAAGAGTGTGGAGTTAGAGAGGATGCTCCCTTGGCTGCTCACCTTCAACTTAAGACCTTTCCATTCATTTTACTTTTATCTTCCAGGTGTCTAAATCTCCAGTCTGTCTGTCGTTCTGGTAATATAACTCTGCAATGGAATAGTTTGCTGCCAACTATTTATATAATGTCATTTTTAAATATTTGTAATATTGTCGACTAACTAATAAATTTAAGTTATTAGCATATTTTTCCTCAGAATTCTATTACTTTGTACCTGCATCATTAACAAAAATTAAGAAGCCATTCACTGAAGCCGAATGTCTTCTACAAGTTTCATTGCCTTCACATGTAAAAAAATCCTCTCTTATTCCCCTGTATTAGTTAAACATCTGGGAAACCTACTTTATTCATTAAATGCTTTTTCAACTAATTGTTTCCAATTTTTTCAAGATTAAATCCCTTTTGAATTCATGTTCTGTCCCATGCTTTTGTACTGTTCTGCATATAATGTTGGTATGCAGCTGAGGGTAAATCTACATAATTCAGTTCTAATATTAGTCTAAAGCAGTATTTCTCAATATTAGCCACTTTAAGATATGTGGACTTCAACTCTTAGAATTCCTCAGCCAGTGCTCACCTATCCCCCTCCCCATCAGTAAAATGGAGGTCAGATTATCTTATAGGACAGGATCCCTTGAATTGTATTTGTATAGGAGATGTTGACTGTAAATGTAGATCTACTACCTTAGCAACTTGTTTAGCAATAGTTCAAAGTTACAGTGGCACTGAAAAAAAGTCACAACTGATCCTCACAGCATCCTCACATGATTAAAATTTAAGCATTTGGCAACTGGCACATGTCTACAACCATTGCAGCATTCTGGGGTCAGTGATTGCTATTTGTGACCTTCTCAGCTGCTTCCGACAAGCAAACTCAATGGGAGACACTAGATTTGCTTAACAACTGAATGATTCACTTAACAACTGCAATAATTTGCTTAACAACTGTGGCAGGTTGTTACAACCAAAGTTGTAAAATCAGGTGCAACTCACTTAACTGCCTTGCTTAGCAATAGAAATTCTGGTCCAAACTGTGGTTGCAAGTCAAGAAATATCCATATGGACATTTTGCATTTCTCTCTTTAAACATTTACCTTGATTCCAGAAAATTCTAATTCCCTTAAT